ATCGCGAAGAAAAAGAATTACCACTAGTAAATGACATCTTTCCAGCTTGCCTATGATGGCAGCTCCCTTCGCCTAACAGTCAAAAAGGGGGGGCGGGGGGGAAGGTTGGGGGTAGTCGGGTGTGGAAGGTTGTGGCCGCCGGTGATTTTCAGATGGACCGAGTCTGCCACCTAGTGATAGGTCTTGCCGAGATTCCAGCTTTGGGCGGTGGGTGGACCGGGCCACTTCTGGTCTCCAAGTCTCCCAACCTGGTACTAGGTCTGGCAGGGAGGACAGCCTCCAGTGAGGATGTCACCCGACATCCAAAGTTTGGGTAAGATGGATGAAAATTATAAAGCCTCGGGATGCTTACCCGATCCAAGATTGCTTAGTGATGGGATCTGCCTCCAAGAAGAGAACCATAAAAGAACTCAAAAGAACTCGTTTTGATTACACTACCTCCAGATCGCGGTTACCTCTCCGGGTGAGGGGCTGGGACTGAGGGGGGTTGGGGGATGTTGGTAGTGGAGGGATGCCATGGGGGCTCTTAGGACATACAACTCGTTATAGTTGAGGAAACAGGCCTGATGAGGGGACCTGTAATGGTGAGACACTGACTTAGTCCAGGCCAGATTTTAAGTTTCTGAATTTCCAGGGTAGTGACTGAAAGTCAAAGGTAAGCTTACCTCCGCTCCTTTGAGGTATGCAAGAGGAGGAACAGCAGTCAGAGAGCCTTAATTCCAACCTCTTAGGTCACTGTAGTTGGAAATGGTTCTCCAGCTGTCTTGGAGGAATTGGTTTATAAAGTTTGGCCTAAGATTTTCAGTAACTAACATGAAACGCCTACAGTTGTGCTGAGGAGTGTGTGTGTGTGTGTGTGTGTGTGGGGGGGGGGGTCTCATACCTTGAGGGGGAGGGAGGCGTGTGTTAGGGAGTGATTAAGGCCCAGTCCCTGGACATGGGGAGATGCATCTTGCAGCACCTGAGGCTCACATTTAGATCCTGAAATTCCTCTCTATCCTCTTCTTTCTAAACTTTTCTAAGTGGCTTGGAGAGAAATCAGTTGTGTGGGTGGGTCGTATAGACCGGCAGAGTGTAATCCTCATAGAATTTGTTCCACAACCGCTTCATAGCAAACTTTTCTTTCTGGGAGTTAAAAACTTAAGATGGCAAACGTGCGTCGGTGTCCTGGCGGCCCCTAGCGACGGCCGCACGCACAGCCTCAGGAGACGCGGTCGTCTCCACCGCCCAGGTCCGCCGGAACCGAGTTTAGCCTCTCTCACTGGGGGAGTGGTTGGAGGCCGCGTCGGAGAAACGCGCCTCTGTTCGGGTTGGAAATGAATCTGGGGACGTGTTTGAAGAGCGGTCAAGTTTGACTCATCGCTTTCCAAGGACAGTTAGTGCCTTCCATCTTCATTAACGTGAATAAAGACCTTGGCTGACTTCTGTCCAGATCGGATTTTTAAAGGCATTGTTTGCTTGGGAAGATCATGCCGCTTCCCTCCCCCGCAGGCCTTTTTGCAGAAGCCGAGCGGGTCCAACCAGGATGGCCGAGATATCTTTGCTCGGGGACGTGGTTTGCTGGCATTGTCTGCCGGACCTTTCTGGAAGGCTGTCGCAAGCTGGGAGCATGGGGAGCGTCCCTTCTGCAGCTCCTCTTCAGATCTTGCTGATAAAACACATCCCTCTGTTTTATGGCATTTCCTAGAAGCTTGCAGGCTTAAAAGAGCGCTTTTGTCAGAAACGTGATAGAAATGAAAGTTAGGACATAATGTTCCTGAACACCTCGGGCCTCGGTCACCCAAATCGACTGCCGAGGCCACCGCATTATCAAATTGGCTTTCATCTACTGTCGACTCCCCACCCTCCCGTCCCCCAGCGAAAAAGCTCGAAGAGAGTCCCGCACTGAACAGAAACAACTCCGCAGTTTAACCCCATCCCCTACTGCGGGACCACTGTGGCTGGACCCGAGCTGTTCCTTAGTAGAGATGCTGCGTAGAAAGGGAGCGCTCCGCCTGCAGGAACCACGATGCGGGTTTCACTGCTCAGCTGCACCCTTATTAAAATTCCTCGTCCCTGCCCCTAAACAGTGCTTTACACTTCCACATTCTCCTTTGGATTTCTCAACGAGTTATTGGAGTTATTAGATTACCAATAACCCAACGGCCGGCCGGGATTGGGCGGGGGGTGGGGATAGGGGGTGGGGTGGAGGACCGAGTTCTCCAACTCCCGAGACTGTCGAAACTAGGTCAATGGGAAGGAAGAAGGGGCGGGGCGACCAGGGATTGTTGGTATCAAGCCCTGGTGGGAGGGCTCCCTCTAGTGTTCAGTAGCGGTGAAACATGATTCCGGGACTCCTGATTTCCAATAAGTGCATTTACTTAATTTTAACCTCTTTTTCCGAATTCACACCCCATCCCATATTAAATTTCAGCCTTCGCTTCCACCAGTATTCCACCGGGCGAAGGAATGAGAAAGCCTCAAAGTATGAGGCTGCAGAGGTCCAGTCTTGAACAACGGACCTTAACACCGCCTCCGTCGCTGACGGGTGGCGCGGCGCTGGGTGTCGCGGCGCTGGGTGTCGCCAACGCCAGTTTTAAGACCCAGCTGTGGCTTGAAAGGCTGCGTCTTTTGCATCCCCGGTACCCCAGCCCCAGCCCCCCAAAGTCCCTCTTGGAGCCCGCTGCTGAGATAAATAGGAGATAAATATAATTCCAAGGAAGGCTACGGGAAGGCGCGGCAACCTTGGAGCGCGCGCGTGCGCGCGGCGGGGTCGGCGTCCGGGCCTCTCGTGGATCCTAACCTTGTTGCTACGGGGTTTCGGAGAAATAGAATCCGGAAAAACCGAAACCTGTCCAGATTCGGCCTGGGCAGCTCTTATTCTAAAGACTTGGGGCGGAAACCCAGCCGAGCTGTGTTCCCCTACTTGCCAACGTAGGCGGAAGGGGCTTTCGGTTTAGTTTTTCTCCAACTCGGCTGGGGTACGCTGCATAGAGACCCTGAGCCCTCTACCTCTAGGCCTTGACGCCTCGCCTAACTATCCTCTTTAAAAGGATTTCGGGGCCAAGCGAAAAGAGAAAAGAAAAAAAAAAATGACGCCCCAGGCAAATAAACGCCAGACTTGGGCAACCTGAAGTCATGAAATGGACCCGAAATCCTGAGGTCTAGACCGGCTCTGCTACTAACTCGCCTGACCATCCCCGTTTATAAAACTGTTGCGGGGAAGGGTAGGACTCGAGCTGTGAGTGCCTGGATGCGCGTGGCCGACCGATTTCGGGGAAAGTGTCCGTACTCCCCGCCAGCCTCCGGGGCGCCCCCACCCCGCTCCCTTCCCGGTGAATCCCCGGCAGCCCGCGCGGCGCAGGCGGCGATCCCGGCGGCCGTTGGGGGCCAGCGGCTTCCTGGAAAGTTACTTCTCGTTGGAGCCGGCGATAGGCAGAGAGTGTTCTGTGAACTCCGCTGAGCGGAGATCGACGACATTCCGGGAATGAGAGGGCTGAGCCATTCCCCTCACTGCCCCCTGCCTTGACGGCGTAACAGGAAAAGAAAGAGGCACACACAATGTTAGTTCCCGAGGTGCACGAAAAGTTTTATCTGAATACAACCAAATTCAGGGCTGCCACGGTAGTCCCGCGGGGCCTCCGCCGAGCCCACGGGGACTCGGAGACAGATGGGCAGCGGTGGTGGCACAACGCCCCCGGGTGGGCAGCCCCTGGCAGCCAGGTACCGTATAGAAGGGGTGGGCTTGCTCCCGCGCGCAGGGCTTGGGTGTGTGTGAGCGAGAGAATGGGGCTGCCCAGTGCCCACCGAGTGTAGGGAGGAGGAAAAGGATGGGTCTTTGTATTGGCTCCCTGTCTCCAGAACATAGCCTTCCTCTCATCTCCTGTTTGGTCTGTCATTTCTGCTCTCTCTCTCTCTCTCTCTCTCTCTCTTCTCTCTTCTCTCTCTCTCCTTTCTCTCTCTCTTCTCTCTCTCTCTCTCTCTCTCTCTCTCTCTCCTCTTTCTTTTTTTCTTTTCTTTTCTTTTCTTTTCTTTTCTTTTCTTTTCTTTTCTTTTCTTTTCTTTTCTTTCTTTCTTTTTTTAGGGGGAGGACGCTCTTTTTTCTTCTCCAAATCCTTTAAGGACCTGCCTTTCTCCTGAGGGTGCCTAAGTTTAAAGCACAAAGGAAAGAGTGTGTGTGTGTGTGTGTGTGTGTGTGTGTGTGTGTGTTTGCTGGGTGGGGGTGGGGGGAGGAGAAGACAATCTTTAACTCTCATTTCGTGGTTTTTTAACTCTCACTTGGTAGTTACTGTGGCTGGGGCGGGGTGGGCTGGATTCAGAGGAGTCCAGGTCTGGGCCCTTGCAGTTGTCACTTTCTCCTGGACAGCTCTGATCTCTTGGTTGTTTTTGTGGAATGAATCTTGTGTGTGTCTGGTGCGTTTCTGAAGCTAGCAGACAGGTTTGCCCAGGGCTTGCTGGTGATTAGTTTTGAGATGTTGGGCAAGGCTTGTCCCCCTGGAGCCTCAGTGTCCTCCCCACTAAATCAGGGCTGTTATGAGTATCAGATACAATAATGGACTGGAAGGAGCCGAGTGGTCTGTAAAAAACAAGCCAAATGCTAGTGGTCCCTCCACACCTGCAGCATCTAGAGGGAAGTCCATCACCCACACCCACCATAACCCACATATTCACTAATTGTGGAACCTCCTGAGACAGAGCTATGTAGGAAGGAGTGGACTCAATAAGGACATGGACCTCAGTGTGTGTGCATTTATTTTGGGACAACCCAGGCAGAGGTTTAGGGTGAAAAGGGCCCAGCCCGGAGCATGGCTGATAGTAGACCCAGGGGAATTGTTTTGTTTGTTTCAATCCGAATCTGGAGTGAATCATTGACAAGTGTCAAGGTGAAATGGCAAATCTGGGCTTCCTGTGGTCCAAAGGTGTGTGACTGGAAATCCACAGGAGAGCTGGTGGTTGCAGCTGGCTGGAGGACAGCCTTCGGTATTACAGAAGGGTTTAAGGATCTCTTCCATGAGGGAAGAGGAGCGGGTTTATAAATAAACCTCACATGTGCCTTCAACATTCTTTTTCAAAGGAGACCAATCATTGAACTATTGTTAGGATCAATTTAGTGTATCTCTCTTTGCCCATTTTGAGTTAGAACGGGGAGAGGAGGAAATAGGTTCTTTTGTCTTTTTCTGTCCTCTCCCTTCCCCCATTTTCTTCCCCCTAACCCCACTCCCTCACATACACACCTAACCTTGAAGCCGATGAGATTGAGTGACTGGCACTTGGGACCACAGAGAATTGTCAGAGTTTTTGGTTACAGACTCAAGGAAACCTCTCATTTTAGTGCTCATTTGGTAAGACTCAGCAGCCTGGAATGGGGGCAAAGTGTTTGTGTGGGGGAAAGGAACTTAAAAATGAGATTCACCCACGTCAGGGTGCTGTCTTGCATGTTCTACAGCACGTAGGCTGATGTGGAAAGGGTCAGGAATTTGAGCCAGAAGACCTAGGGCCGGGCTATTCACCATCTATGTGGTCTAACAAGACCTCCCTGGCCTCGGGCCCCTTTACCTGGAAAATAACTAAGGCCTAGGCTTTTTTTAAAAGGGGGTGGGGAAGAGGGCTAAGATAGTTTTTTTGTTGGTGTTGCTCTGCAGCCCATATACTGTCATAAATGAGAGTCTTCCACCTGTGCTTTTAAATTATTTTGTTTTAAAGAAACCAATTTGGAGAAGGTACATATTTCATTAGTGCTCCCGGGCCAGTTCTCAGCTAAATCAGACAATTAAATCTTTTCACCAGCAGGGGGAAGCACAAACTTGCAAGATTGTGGTAGTATATCTTGTCTTAGACCCAGGAGGGAAGGGAGAGGAAACTTTTAAACAGAAGGCAAAGATCCTTAAGAAAAGCATAGCTAGGCCATTGCAGGTTGTATTCTGCAGATTCTGTATTCAGTACTTCAGTACTTTCAGACAGTCAGGAAGTACTGCCTGGCTGTTTTGTCCTGGGAAAGCCACTTGAACCCGAGTCTCAGTTTTGTCACCAGTGAAATTAGGGTAAAGATATTGACCTTGTTGGCCTTGTGGAATCATTTTAAGACTTGAAAAAATAATATTTTAGCAGGTTTCGAAAAGCGTCCAAAGTTTTTAGGCCCCTGAATGATCATCCTTATTAATACTGATTTTTTTTCTTTCTTTAAATGTTTTCTTTCCCATAAATGCACTGGCTTTGGGGTAGTGAACATTGTTTCCACTGAGAAAGGAAACATATGTGTATATGTATATGTAATTAATGTATGTACTGTATCCCCAGTACTCAGGGTATAAACATTATCGCAGGGCTTCGGGTGCCTGTTGTTTTCATAAGAGCAGAGCTGGAAAAATGTTTCCTAGCTTATAGTAAAACCGCACCAGCTGGCAGGCTGCAGCTATCAAAGTAAAACTAAACACGTGTGTTCTAAAATAAGACCATAGTGGACAATCTTACATTCATTAAATCAATTTCTGTTTGTTTGTTTTTTCTCTTCCCTGCAGGTTTTAAGCAAAATTTTGGACTGTGAATCAAGGCATTGGGTAAGTAAATTGAATTATATGCCTTAAGATTTTGTGGGGAAACTGTTTCTTTTGAATTTGCCAATGCATATGTTTCTGTGAACTTTGCCACTTTTCATTAGATGAGGTGAAGGATTGCTGATTCCTTCTCTATCACTCCCAGCCCTCATCCTGTACCCCTGCGTTAGACTATCTTAACACTGTTGTGTGATCATTCATTCCCCAAATTATTTTAGTTCAAATTAATGTAGCCACCTACTATGCACTAGCAATGTGCTAGGTGCTCGTCGGAACATTGAGATAATTCTAAAGCCTAATAGAGGAGAAATGAGATACTGATGAGAATAGCTACAATTTTTCAGAACCTAGGCTATGGATCAGGCACATACCTCTAATTTTGCAACTACATAGGTATTACTACTCTCATTTTGGGAAACCAAAGCCCAGAAACATTGAGCAACCAGCTCCAAGTCACACAGCTCAAAAAAGGTCAAGCTAGTATGCTAACCTTCAAAGCCTGGTTCTCTCCCCTGTCACACACTCACTGCTTCTCAATGCCGGTAGAGTATTTGATATGTGGGGAAAAACACTCAACAATATTCATTCCCTTCCCCTTTTCTGTAAAGGGCTTTCTATTCCAATTTGTTGGATAAAAATTATTCTCCCCATTTTACAGATGTGAACAGTAATATCCAGAGATGGGCCATGAATTATTTAAAGACCAAACACAAGGGGCCTCAGTTTGCATTCCATGCTAGCAGGCTGAACGACCTGCTCTCATGCTCCTGGTAAGCAAGAAACAGGTTCTGGTTAACTAATAGGATTTTGACCCCCTTTTTGCAGGTGAAGACAAAATGGCCTCGCCGGCTGATAGCTGTATCCAGTTCACCCGCCATGCCAGTGATGTTCTTCTCAACCTTAATCGCCTCCGGAGCCGGGACATCTTGACTGATGTTGTCATAGTGGTGAGCCGTGAGCAGTTTAGAGCCCATAAGACAGTCCTCATGGCCTGCAGGTGAGGGTCTGGAAAGGAAATTTAGATGAATATAAGGGGAGTATGGTGCTGGCAGCGAACGAGGTGGAACATGTGGGCCTCTTGCTGTGTTTGGGATCACATCTGATTTGTGTCCAGATGTCCAGCCTGGCTGGGTAGCCTCCCAGAAAGGGAATGAATGCCCACACCTTTCAAGAAGAAAGTGTTTCTATTCTGTGGGAATAGAGGGAGAAGAAATCACATACTGTCTCAAGAAAGGATGTGTTTGGAGCAAACATGGAGAATAACTTCAGTTTACATGTAAAAAAAAATGAAAAGTGAAAGAGATTTTTAAAATATGTTAAGCAAGCTAATTTGAAATATTTTGCACTTTTATTCCATAATTGTATTTCTTTTATACCGTGGCTGTATTTCCATGGGTAAGTTAGTGAAAGTGAGCCAGCTATTTCTTCATATTTGTCAAGGATTTCAAGTGTTCACAGCAATTTTATATTACATCATCTCCCTGGATCTTCATAGTGGCCTGTGTCATGGATGGCATGATTGCCTCCATTATGTAGATCAGTGGTTCTCAACCTTGGCTGCACATTAAAATCACCTGGGAATCTTTTTAAAATCCTGATTTCTGGGCCTCGTCCTCCGTAAATTCTGTTTCTTTCTTATGGGGTGGGGCCACAGCATTAGTAACAAAGAAACAGAATTTCTGGAGGATGAGGCCCAGAAATCAGGATTTTAAAAAGATTCCCAGGTGATTCTAATGTGCAGCCAAGGTTGAGAACCACTGCTTTACATGTTCATTCTTGCCTCAACCCTGTAAGGTAGATACTATTGTTTTTGCTTTGCAGATAAGGAAACTAAGGTATAGAGAAGTATCTTACCCAAGGTTGCATTCCTTCTTACTGGTGGAAGTGGGGCTCACTTCTGCAACACACTCAGGAAGAGTACACTTGAGGTGGCAGCCCTAAATTTTGGCTTCTGAGTGCTCTTTCCTCAGCCAGACAGCATGGTATCTGGAGGCTTGACTTGGACCTTCTAGGAATACTGAACTTGTAATAGTCTATGGGATTTTAGAAAAAAATCAGTAGAATGTAGATGTAGGCATCATTTTATTGATTTATCATCATTATTCAACTTAGTTTTTAAAAAATACAATAAGAGTTGTAAAATAAGAAAAAGAGATGGAACAAGGAAAAGGCTTATCTCAAAGATAGGGATAAAAAATAGTTACTGCAAATGAATGTTAAATTTAACTCTGGTCATCTGTGCAGTTATAACACTAAAAGGAAAACAAGTTCTGGGACTTTGAGAGAATCACTTAACATCTTTGATCTTCGTTTCCTCATTTGAAAAGAGGGAGAATGATAGTATCTACCTGGCAAGGTTGTGAAGAATAAATATAAAAAGTGCTTAATGACTCACTGGCATTTGATAAGCACTCCGTAAATGGCACTATTATTAATTGCTGTGGAAGTTTTGGAGGTAGGGCCTGGGGAGAGGGGCTGCACGTGATGCTGACTGTAATTGATGAGAGTCTATACGCTGCTATAATGAGACATGTGTTTGTTTTACAGTGGCCTGTTCTACAGCATCTTCACAGACCAGTTGAAATGCAACCTGAGTGTGATCAATCTGGATCCTGAGATCAACCCCGAGGGGTTCTGCATCCTCCTGGACTTCATGTACACATCTCGGCTCAACCTGAGGGAGGGCAACATTATGGCCGTGATGGCCACAGCTATGTACCTGCAGATGGAGCATGTCGTGGACACTTGCCGGAAGTTTATCAAGGCCAGGTGAGCTGCCACCAGGTGGAAGCCTGGGAGATGAGAGGGATCAGAAGGGATGAGAAACCCTGGACATTGCTTGCATACAGAAAAAAAAAATAATCCTCTGTAATGTGCCACAACCTACATTTCCACTATTTTTGCACACTTCTGCCCTTATGAAATCCCGTGCTCCAGCCAACTTGACTCCTTACTGCTATCCAGATACACCTCGTGCATCCTCACCTCCAGCTCTCTCCCATTCACTTGACATGCCCTTTCCTCCCACCTACCCTATAAGGCCATGCTTGGATGCCAGCTCCTCTGTGGATGTTTTTATGATTATCACTCAGCTCTTTCTTCTGCTCTTCCTTTCTGTTCCAAAGCCTTTGCTTATCCTTTAGATTTTTCTTCTATTTTAGCTACTCCCTATCCAAGGGCTGGGAAGACATACCATTATGTAAAGGTGAGGAATCTGAGAGCCAAAGAAGGGAGGAGCTTTGTTTAGAACCATTTGATTCACTGCTCTGGGGTGATCGTAACCCTTGTCAAACAGAAGGGTTTCTAGCCTCTGTTTGAACCCCACCAGGAGCTGGGAACGCAGCGTTCCCAGAGCCATGCAGTCTACCTTGGACAGTCAGAAAGCTCCTCTTTATGGCGAGTTGAAATGGCTCCCCTAATATTCACTCATTGGTTCTAGCTCTGTTAACTGTGATCATGTTTGAGTTGGCCTATTTTTCGCCCACATAGTGTCCTTTCCAGTATATGCAGCTAGAACTCTTTGTCTTCTGTGGGTGATAATGGTGGCAAGATCATCAGAACCATCATTTCCGAGTGCTTTCTCTAGGTCAGGCCCGATGCTTGGAGTGGTTAAGTAACTTGCTCCAGGTCACACAGCTGCTAAGTGGCTCAGCTGGGACTGGAAGCCAGGTCTGGCTGTTTCAGAGTCAGGGCTTCCTGCACAAGCAAGGCTGCCTATTTTCCAAAGTCCACTTACCTATGACTCGAGTCCTTTTCTCCCCAGGGCACCAGTTTGCCTATGGCCCTCTGCACATGTGGCACCAGGACTGTATGAATTCTTCCCTCCCTGAGCCTCAGTTCCCATATGTATAAAATGGAGACAGTAATACCTGCCTTCCCTTCCTTGCAGGATTTTGCCTGGGTGAACTGAGATAAGGGCTCTGAAAGCTTTACATTCCATAGTAATCCAAAGAATTACAGAGTCACATTCCTGCTTATGTATGTGACGTAAACAGGCTCAGATTGTGTGGGTAACTCTCTTCACTGGGCCTATTTACACAACTGTGGGCTAGATTGCTAGATTTCAAGCATTAGTGCCTTGTAATTGCAAGTGTTTCCCTACTCCAAAGCCATATTTCCTATGTCTCGCTGGCTCAAGCACAACTGTGGTTGCATAGACAGTGGCACTTGGGAGGTCGTCTGTGTAGTAGTTCTAATTTGGAGGCCGGTGTCTTCTCTTGTTTTCTCCTGCAGTGAAGCAGAGATGGTTCCTGCCATCAAGCCTCCCCGTGAAGATTATCTGAACAGCCGGATGCTGATGCCCCAAGACATCATGGCCTATCGGGGCCGTGAGGTGGTGGAGAACAACCTGCCGCTGAGGAACCCCCCGGGGTGTGAGAGCAGAGCCTTTGCCCCCAGCCTGTACAGTGGCCTGTCCACACCGCCAGCCTCTTATCCCGTGTACAGCCACCTCCCTGTCAGCAGCTTCCTCTTCTCCGATGAGGAGCTGCGGGATGCCCGGATGCCTGTGGCCAACCCCTTCCCCAAGGAGCGAGCCCTCCCCTGCGATAGTGCCAGGCCAATCCCTGGGGAGTACAGCCGGCTGGCCATGGAGATACCCCACAGTGTGTGCCACAGCAACATCTACTCACCCAAGGAGACGGCCCCAGAGGAGGCACGGAGTGACATGCACTACAGTGTGGCCGAGGGCCCCAAGCCAGCTGCCCCCTCGGCCCGGAATGTCCCATACTTCCCCTGTGACAAGGCCGGCAAGGAGGAAGAGAGACCCTCTTCAGAGGATGAAATTGCCCTGCACTTCGAGCCCCCCAATGCACCCCTAAACCGGAAGGGTCTGGTTAGTCCCCAGAGTCCCCAGAAGTCCGACTGCCAGCCCAACTCGCCCACAGAGTCCTGCAGCAGCAAGAATGCCTGCATCCTTCAGACCTCTGGCTCCCCTCCAGCCAAGAGCCCCACCGACCCCAAAGCCTGCAACTGGAAGAAATACAAGTTTATTGTGCTCAACAGCCTCAACCAGAACGCCAAACCGGAGGAGCCCGAGCAGGCCGAGCTGGGCCGCCTTTCCCCTCGAGCCTACCCTGCCCCACCAGCCTGCCAGCCGCCCATGGAGCCGGAGAACCTTGACCTCCAGTCCCCAGCTAAGCTCAGCACCAATGGGGAGGACTCCACCATCCCTCAGGCCAGCCGGCTCAATAACATTGTCAACAGGTGATTGAAGAGGCAGTCCAGGCCTGGGCTCAGGGGTTACCTGGCAGGGTTCCGGGGGTCACTTCTGAGGGATGCAGGGGCTATCGGAGCCTATCAGAGGAGTGGGATAAGTGCCTAATGATTGACTTCACCTAAGTAAGGATGGAGATTTGTCCATAGCCAGCCAGGGAATTCCCGCCTCTGTTCTGTGGGAAAGAAACTAGGTCCGGGAGTGGGGACCGGTGAAGGGCTCGCCTCTGCTTCAGCGGCTGAGGCTCTGTTCTTCCTCGCAGGTCTCTCGCAGGCTCCCCCCGCAGCAGCAGCAGCAGTGAGAGCCACTCGCCCCTCTACCTGCACCCCCCGAAGTGCACGTCCTGCGGCTCTCAGTCCCCACAGCACGCGGAGATGTGCCTCCACACCACCGGCCCCACGTTCCCTGAGGAGATGGGAGAGACCCACTCTGAGTACTCGGATTCCAGCTGTGGTGAGTCCCACCCTCCGACCTCTCCGACCAGGGAGAAGGCCTGCCCCTGCCTCTGCTTTGTGGGGGTTTGTCTTCCATTGTATTTATGCTGTTGTCATCAGTTGGGAGAAATTCCTGATGAAGTCCATTGGCACCAGCTGATCGCTCCACTCTTGACCTTGTAGGGAACTAGGCTGACCAAAGCAGGAGATGGGGTGTTAGAGTTAATCCTGGGTAACAGAGAATGATCAAACAGACTTTGTAGCTTCATTCCAGAAAAAGAAGCTTGTGGGGCTGTAACTCCCAGCGCTTTCTCAGCCCCTCTGGGCCTAAACTGCAAGTGCAGGATCTATGGGCATGTTAGTGCACCTGCTGGGTTGTCCGTTCCGGAGGGGAAGCATCTAAACTGATTCACTCCTGCATCTCCCATAGGTCCTTAGGGAGTCTCTAGAACAGAGTGGGTACTCAGTAAATGTTAGCTGAACTAGATTAGTTGAACAGAATTATTAAATTGGGGTCAGGAAATGGAGAGGATTCCAGAATTATTAAATTATTATTTCTGAATAGTCTGTGTTTGACATCCCCAGTTTTTACCAGATGAAAAAGTCTGTCTTCCTGCAGCTCTGGCTCCCATAATATAGCGCAGAAATATCGAATCAGGGCTGAGCCACCATGAGGTGTCATTTTCAAATTGTTATAACCAAAGGAAAAATAAATTATTTACACTGAGAGATTTGGCACAGGGTTGTGGACCTATAGTTAAGAGAGCAGAGGCTGTAACTCCCAGCTGTAATGTCCCCGTCTGTCCCTCTGGCCATTTGCTTTTGTTCTGCACTCGAGCTCCTTCTCTCTGGGCCTCTATTTCTACTCCCACCATCATCTGTAGTCTCCCAGTCTCACAGATCTTTGGGAGACATGAAATGCAGATCGGTGCAAGGGTGACCGTGTTTGTCATTCATCTTCCCAAAGACTTCAAAGTATCATTGCATTTGATTTAATCTTACATTCCTATGCTGCTTTTGTTATGTCAGGTGCTCCTATGAAGCAGGTAGGACAGGGGCTTATTATCCTGATTTTGGAGATAGAGACACAGACAGAGGCTCAGGGACCTGAAGGGCCTGGCCAAGGGCGTCTGTGAATGAATACAAATAAAACTATGAACTGATAAGAGCAGCCAGTTCTCAGCGCTCTCCAGAAAAGGGAGAGCCCCGCGGTGCCTTCCTCAAGCTGCTGTGGGCCATATGGGTACCTGCTGGTTCGAGCTTCCTTCTGTAACTTAGTATTCAAATGTCTCCTTTCTCCTTCTAAATGCTAAGAAAGCCCTAACCGGTTTGGCTCAGTGGATAGAGCGTCGGCCTGCGGACTGAAAGGTCCCAGGTTCGATTCCGGTCAAGGGCATGTACCTTGGTTGCGGTCACATCCCCAGTTGGGGGTGTGCAGGAGGCAGCTGATTGATGTTTCTCTCTCATCGATGTTTCTAACTCTCTATCCCTTTCCCTTCCTCTCTGTGAAAAATCAATAAAATATATTTAAAAAATAAATAAATAAATAAATAAATAAATAAATAAATGCTAAGAAAAAGAAAATCTCCACAGGCCCTTTGCTCTGGGCTCCCCTGTATGTTGGGTGGGCAGGGGCACTGGGGTGGCTGTGGAGGTGAGGGGCCTTGGAGCCCCATCTCTCTTGCTCTCGCTGATGTTTGTGTCCCCTCCCACCCTTTGACAGAGAATGGGGCCTTCTTCTGCAATGAGTGTGACTGCCGCTTCTCTGAGGAAGCCTCGCTCAAGAGGCACACGCTGCAGACCCACAGTGACAAACCCTACAAGTGTGACCGCTGCCAGGCCTCCTTCCGCTACAAGGGCAACCTCGCCAGCCACAAGACCGTCCATACGGGTATGGCCCTGCCCCACCTGAGCTTGCTGATTTTCCTGGGGTCAGGAAAGGGAGAGGGTTCCAGAGAAAGCAGTCTGGGGCTTGGTACCAGTGGAGTGAGGCAGAGAGCAGGCCCCGTCCTGGCCTGAATGAGGGCTCTAGCCTTGTCACATCTTTGCTTAGTGGCTGGTCCACTCCATGTACCCTTCGTCTTTCCTCTGAGCTGCTCTGTTCTGCTTCTCTTCTTTTGCTAGAGTCAGAAGTGTTGATCCCACTGTTGAGAAGGAGAAACTAAGGTTGAGAGACACAAAGTAGATTTGGTTTTTGCAAAGCCAGAAAAAACACACACAAAAAAAGGCCTCTTGATTTCCTCTAAGGGCCTATTCCTTATCAACTCACATTCCTTTACCAGGTAGCTTCTAATAACCTGATTGTTGTCCAAAGTTGACTCTCTCTTGGTATTTTAAATGGCTCCTTTATCCCAGAAACTTTCCATGAAGGAAGGCACAGCCCTCTATTGGTTTCCTCTGTCTGAACACCTAATCCAACTCAGGCCCCACCTCCTTTGCCAATGGAATCCAGCTGTAGTTGCCACAAGCGGAAAAGCATGTTTGTTCTGAAAGAAACTAGAGCAGCCTGATGGTATCTCCCTGCAGAGTGGGTTGACTAGTGAGTCAGTCTTATCCAAGCGAAGAGCTAGAAGAGCCTTTCCAAGCCGTCAGCGTTCACCCCTCAGGTTCCAGAGAGGGAAACTGAGGCCCAGAGAAGGAGAGTGACTTTTCCGAGTCCCACTGTTAAATGATCCTGATGACAAAGCTGGTTCCAAGGCTTCCTGGAACCTCACTCTCTCCCTGTTCCACACCCAGCATTGTTTCTACCCCTACATGCTTTTAAACTGTGATCAAGGGGGTGCTGTTGTGTGTATGTGGGGAGGGGAGGCAGGCCCCTGGATCCTCTCTTTGACACCTTCCAAGGGACAGTAAGTCAAAACAGCCCTGGGAAAGGCAGCTTGCTTTGAAATCCAGGAGCCAGAGACTATGGTGAACTCCATTGAACATAGCTATCCTTTTTCCTTTTCCCTCGGTAATAGGTGAGAAACCCTATCGCTGTAACATCTGTGGGGCCCAGTTCAACCGACCGGCGAACCTGAAAACCCACACTCGAATTCACTCTGGAGAGAAGCCCTACAAATGTGAAACCTGCGGAGCCAGATTTGTACAGGTGAGCTGGGGGCCTGGGGAAAGGACCCCTCGGCCTGTGCATGCGGCTGCCCAGGGGTGTGCAGCTCACCCCGACAGAGCCTCTCACGCTTTGCTCTTCTGCCCAGGTGGCCCACCTCCGTGCCCACGTGCTTATCCATACTGGCGAGAAGCCCTATCCGTGTGAAATCTGTGGCACCCGTTTCCGGCATCTTCAGACTCTAAAGAGCCACCTGCGAATCCACACGGGAGAGAAACCTTACCATGTAAGGGAGCCTTTGTGGCTACTGGTTGACCTGGGGGGGACAGGGACATGGAGGGGCAGGGCAGCAGAACTGTTTGCTCCTGTCTCAAGTGCACAGTGGGATGGTCACTGGACTTGGGATCATAGACATAGATTTGGGCCTGATTTTCAAAGAGACCCTGCTTGACCTTGGCCTGGGTCTCAGTTTCCTCATCTTTAAAGGGGGGTAATGGGTTTAGTGATCTGGGCCTTAGGAAAGAGGTCTGGACTATGAATACATAAATGGTGGAGTCACTCATTCATTCATTCCAACATGCTTATTGAGTGCTTACAAGCATGCCTCAGTGCTGGGCTTGATGTCTACTGAAGACGAGCTCAGGAGTTTGAAAAGGAGCAGCCAACAATAGCATTAGGAGTAGAAGAATGTGGTGACATAAAATAAAACAGAGAAAAGGACATTTCAAGAAGGAAAGGAACAAGTGGCCAGCAGCCAGCAGCCATGATCGGCCCATCAGAATCATGGCGTTCCAGGGCAGGGACTCTGCAAATTAATGGCTTATAGGCTAATTTTTAAACCTTCCATGAGCTAAGAGTGGTTTTTATACACTCAAGTGTGTAAAAAACAAACAAACAAACAATATTTTGTGATACGTGCAAATTTTATAAAATTTAAATTTCAGTCCATAAGCAAAGTTTTATTGGAACACAGCCTTGCTTACTTATTTATGGATTGTCCGTGGCTACTTTTAACAACACAGCAGCAGAACTGAGTGGTTGTGTCAGAGAATGTAAAATATCCCACGAAACCTAAAATATTTACTGTCTGGCTCCATAGAAAAATAGTTTGCAGATCTCTGCTATAGAGGGGAAGACACTGGACAGGCAGCTGAGATATCTTGGTTCTTATCATGGCCTTGGGCAAGCCCTGCCCCTCTCCCTGGGCCACAGTTTTCTTTTTCTGTGAAATGATGAGGATGCTGTAGAAGAGCAGTTTTCAAATTGTTCTCTTTCAGTCACTGAGGTTCTTTGGCCCCGAAGGGCAGTACTGAGACCGCAGCCTCTTTTATCTTTCTAGTTTCCATCTAATCTGAAAAGAGAATATGGCATCACTCTACTTAGTGATGAGCACGAGAACGAACCGAAGAATGGTTAACCCATATCACAAACGTTAGCAGCAAAATGGGGTTATTTTCATTGTCTTGTTTATTAATCCTTGAGTGAATATCTTTTTACTTGCTATTTATTCTTGGGTGTATTAGTTATCCTCTTAGTACCTTAATTTTATCACCTACAAATTGAGCCCATAAGAGGACCTACCGCATAGAGTTGTTGTATTAAGTAAATGAATTCGCTAAAATGTGCAGAGCAGTTGACATGTGGTAAGAGGAAAATAAATCTTTGCTATTATAATTATCCTCTAGAACAGGGGTGGGCAAACTTTTTGACTCGAGGGCCACAATGGGTTCTTAAACTGGACCGGAGGGCCGGAACAAAAGCATGGATGGAGTGTTTGTGTGAACTAATATAAATTCAAAGTAAACATCATTACATAAAAGGGTACGGCCTTTTTTTTTTTTAGTTTTATTCATTTCAAATGGGCCGGATCCGGCCCGCGGGCCGTAGTTTGCCCACGGCTGCTCTAGAAGTTTAGACGCACAGGATGTCTGAGTTAGGAGTGACCTGCAGAGTGTATTGATTCAGTTTCATACAGAGGGACAGCCAAGGCCCAGAGAGAGAAATGACGCACGCAGGGCACACAGTGGAGGGTGGCATGGATGGGTCCCATTTCTCCCAAGACCAGGGCTCTTTCTACTCATTGTCCTGCCCATTTGATTTGTTTATTTCTGTAAATGTATTTCCATTTTTACTTTAAAACATATTCTCTATATGAACACATTTTATTACACTTTTATTTAGAATGGTTTCACATTTATAGAAAAGTGGCAAAGGAGGTGCAGAGAGCTCCTATGTGCACCCAGTTTCCCCTGTTGTTAACGTCTTACGTCTTACGTCAGTATGATACCTTTGTCACAACTAATGAACCCATACTGATATGTTATTGCAAACTAAAGTCCATACTTTATTTGGATTTTCTTTTTACCTAAATTGCCCTTTTTCTCTCAAGGATTATGTTCAGGTTACCCCATAGTGTCATTCATTTTACTTTTAAGTAACTCTTCCACTAAAACCATTAGCATCCATTCATTGAATCAAAGCAAGAAACAGCTCTACCTGGTGATGCCTTGTTAGCGTACCTAAAGTGTACACACGAAGAAGGAGTCTAACTGCATTTTTAAGGCATATCCTTAGACTCATCAATTTTCATGAGTCAGTCCATTTGTCCAAATGTGTTCAGATTTAATGTATAATTGCCTAAGAAGTATATTCTGCTAGATACTAAGAAGATTATAAAGTTTAGTAAGGAGTGGTCACTGCCCCTGAAGCATTCCCCACCTAATAAGACAAGGCTAGAAATCTTACAGAGGTTCAATGGGAAGAGGGATTCTTTTCATTCTAGAGAGATTCAGAGACTCCTTAATAATTAGGGGAGTTTTCACCTGAGCTGCATTTTTTTGGATAAGACTTGAACTTGTGGAGTTAAGTCAGGGAAATACAGCTTAAGCAGGAGAGAAGTCTGGGCAACATTTTGGAAAGCAGGGAAGGGACATTTGCACAAAGCGGTACTGGTCCCTTAGGAGGATCCCAGATTCAGGTGGGCTCGCAACCTGGCCCCTAAGAGGAAACAGCTGCTGGATGGCTCACAGGGAGAGACAGGGCGAAACTCCTTCTCTGGGTCTTTGAACGATGACATGTTTCCTGGGCTGATGACAGCTAACAGTTTACCTCTGGTTTTCCTTCAGTGCGAGAAGTGTAACCTGCATTTCCGTCACAAAAGCCAGCTGCGTCTTCACTTGCGCCAGAAGCATGGCGCCATCACCAACACCAAGGTGCAATACCGCGTGTCCGCCACCGACCTGCCCCCGGAGCTGCCCAAGGCCTGCTGAAGCATGGAGTGTTGACGCTTTCCACTCGAGCCCCTTCTCAGAATCTACCCAAAGGATACTGTAACACTTTACAGCATTCATCCCATGATGTAGTGCCTCTTTCATCAACTAGTGCAAATCATAGCTGGGTATGGGGGGTGGGGGGAGGGGCGTGGGGACCGGGAGCCAAGGCAGCTCCCCTTCCCCCACTGCCATCCAACATTAAGAAAATAATATTGCTTCTTCTCCTATGTGCAAGGCGAACCATGTCAGCAAAAAGCAGAATCATTTTGTACATCAAAGTGGGAGAGTATGCAAAAGCTCTGACTTGACTTAGTCTGCAAAATGAGGAATGTATATGTTTTGTGGGAACAGATGTTTCTTTTGTATGTAAATGTGCTTTCTTTTAAAAGAAGAGACTTCGGTATGTTATCAAACAGAGGGCTTTAATTTTTTTAACCAAAGGTGAAGGAATATATGGCAGAGTTGTAAATATATAAATATATATATAAAATAAATATATATATATATATAAACCTAAAAAAGATATATTAAAAATATGACATTGTGTTAAAGGCTCGATTTTGTATCTGCAGGCAGACACGGATCTGAGAATCTTTATTGAGAAAGAGCACTTAAGAGAATATTTTAAGTATTGCATCTGTTTAAGTAAGAAAATATTTTGTCTAAAATGCCTCAGTGTATTTGTATTTTTTTGCAAGTGAAGGTTTACAATTTACAAGTGTGTATTAAAAAAACAAAAAGAACAAAAAAAGCTGCGGAAGGAAAAATGTGTAGTTTTGTTCTAGTTACCGGTTTGTATATACCTATACAACGTGTCCTACGGTGCCTTTTTCATGGAAGTTTTCAACGATGGATGGGCGAGCGCTCCATCCCTTTCTGAAGTGTAGGCAGACACAGGGACTGGAAGTTGTCACTAACAGCCTCTTTGGGAATGTTTGTCTCATCCATCACATTCTGCGTCGTGCTTGTGTTAGAACTGCTCCGGAGACAGGGTTTGGCTGTGTCTAAACTGCATTACCGCGATGTAACATATAGCTGTACAAATACAAGAATAAAATGTTGAAAAGTTGAGTCACCTTGTTCAGGGGTCTTTCTTTGTGTTAGAATCAGGACTTAAATGGGTCTGGTTTCCTCTGCTCTTACATAGTGGGGAGTGATCACAGCCACTGGCGGGGGGGGGGGGGTGGCGGGGGGGGGGGGGGGGTGGCAATGTAAGAAACAAAAGTGGGGGTCTTTCTTCCCGCCCAGGAAGGATCACAGACTCCCAGATCCTGGTGTGAGCTTCGTGGGGATTTTGGATGGATCTCTCACCTCTTTTTCTGGCTGGTTCCCTCCTCTGTGTTTTTGTTGTTGTTTGTTTTTCACTCAGTGTTCTAGGCTGAGCTTTGATGACTTTAGTTCTAGTCCTTTTGACACAAGTGTATGTGAGTTGATTCCTCCTCTGGGCTTTGGAGAATTTGCCCATTCTGGGATGCAAGAGGGTTCATCTTGCCTCCTGGCTTCATAAACAACTCTGCTTGGGTCTACACCAGAGGATGGTATGAAGGCCTCTGGCCCCAGTCATACATCTCTCAGCATCGGTGTCTTTCTGGTATCTGCTGAGCAGTGGGCAAACATCTATAGACTTGGAACCTTTATGAATGGCTGCTAGCCAAGCAAACCGCCATCACTGCAGGAGTGGTCCTTGTCCGAAGAACTCTGTGGTGGAGGTCAGCCATCTCCTCCCATGTGTGGGGGACAATCATTGTTCTCTGGGTCCCCCTTCCAGCCTTCCCATGAGGGGATTGGATTATCTAGATCACTTCTAATGTCATGATTCAGACATAAATTCATCCTAGCTTACTTTGGCACCTAGTTTTAATTTACCTCAAAAAAATGCCAAGTTTGATTGACAAGGCCAAAGAACAGGGAGGACAAGCGTGGTCCTGGGCCCTGGCCCAGAGGAGAATGCCTGTACACCCCCCTGACCGCGGGGCAGGGACATGAACTAGAGCCTTTCCTGAGTCCTTGTGTGGCTGGTGGCAGGATGGTGTGTCCTGGCAGTGCTTTTGCAGCAGGCCCTGAGCACGTGCTGGGAAGCTCCCGGGAGCTGACCACCCAAAGCCTGAGAGAGCGCCTCTGAAAGTCACACTCCCCTCTGCCAGCCACATGGCCTTCCAGCTCAGGTTTCCTTTGAAAGTGACTTTAAAGGACTTGCCAGCTCGAGGCCTCAGCTCACCCTGCTCTTTGAAAAGGGAGAAAGTGATCCCTCTGCTCCCATAGAAACTTGGCAAAAGAACTTAAAAAACAGACAGCTTCAGGAATGACAATTCACAGGCCCGAGGGAGGCTGGCCCTAGAGCCCCTTGGTTCCCTGAGGGGCTAGGAGTTTGTTTATATATCATTACTGTTTAATAAAGAGACTAGGGGGCCCAGGCAGACAGTGTGGGTGGCTTCAAGTTCAAACAAAAGAGAAGATCAAAGAGTGAGTAACTGTAGCCAATTGACGATCAATAACAAGTAAAAAGCAAACATCTCTAAACAGATAAGCTAGGGTAAAGGGAATAGAGAATTTTTATTTCAAAAGCCTGACGTGAATGCAACATTTCACAAACACATAACTTTCAAAACAGCGGCGCCTGAGGTCCTTCTCTGTTTTGTGGGATTTTTAAGGGGAAGGTTTCTCAGGACCAGGGTGGTGGTTGGAGGGTAGACCCAGAGAAGAGGGGTGGTTGGAATCAAGCAGAGCAGCTTAGAAGCTGGAAAGGATGGGGGATGATAAGGATCACCTAATTCAAGTCTGTCATCTCTACCCATGAAAGGACTGAGACAGGAGACATGCAAGAACTTGCCCACTGTCCTCACCCGGTGTCCGGGGACAGAGAGTGGAGGGTGGGCTTCTGCTCCTCACTCCAATCAGAGACAAGGAAGAACAGATGCAAATGTTCCCATTTCAGATATAAGGAAACTGAGGCAGGGACTCGGCCGAGGTTACCCAGCCAAGTAGTGGCTAACTAGTCTGAGTTCAGACAACTGGTCATTGGTGAAACTTCCATCTTTTTCTTTTCTTGAGGAAAATGAGCTATCTTTGGAATCCGGGTTCCCATTCCTCTCTCTGTGCCACTCATAGCAATAAGTGTGTTAAGCAGTGATAATAACATCTTGCATTTGTGAGGTGGTTATGATTTTCAAAGCACTTTCGTATCAATGATCACATTAAATTCTCAAAGTCACCCTTCAAAGCAGAGTTTATGGGGGGGATGGAAACCGCATGCCCACCTCAGAAACTCCAGGATAGAGACAGTGCCCAAGAGTTACAACTGAACCAGGAGCCCATAAAAACACACCACACTGCACCTGCCCACAGAAGCTGCTCCACCAGAAACTTTGTCTCAGTCCCTGCTAGAGTCAGAACTTGGGTAGCCATATCTCATAGCATGTGACCACTCCCCTGACCACTAATTTGTCTAAGGATGGACAGTGCATCCAAGGCCAACCAACCACAGGCAGGTCTGTGGCCTATTATGTGTGGCATGTAAAGTGTTGCCTAAGTAGGGGATGCTAATATGTTGGGCCACCAAGATGGTCCTGGGAATTTTTCCTGAAACATAGAACCACCAGCCAGTCCAGTGTTTCTCAAATTTCATACACTTGTCATCCATCTTCATGATTTTGCTATAGCATCTCACCTTGAAAAAAATATATATATATATATTATTTTTCTTTCAATCAACTCACATTTTAGATATATTTTCCCCAAGTATAAATTAAATAGCATCCAAAATAAAAATGTTCATTCACGTGCCTTCTCAAAATTGTTCTGTGTTCTACAGGAGGCATTTTGGAAAACACTAAGAGAATGAGACTAGGGCAGAGAAGCACAGAGAAGCTGACCTGTGGAGAGTGGGGGGTCGCATTAATGGCAGGGCATTGGAATGAGCTCCCCCAAGGAGGAGGCTTGGAACAAGGGTGACCTTCCAGTATCAAGTTCTAGGAAGCTTGTCATTGATTGAGGGATTCTGTCTGGTTTTAGGTTTCTAGAAGATTCCATTCATCTTATAAACACTTCATAATAAGGTCCCTGCCTCTATTCCTACACCATAGTTGGCCTGGTCTGTGTGAGTATCTGTTTCTGGAACCAAAGAGCACAGTTTACTCAGGTGTCCAGGTCTCTGAGGTGTCTGCCACTGGGAAGACCCTTATATACTCTTAAATTGAGTCTAGGCTCTTGATAGTAAAGGCTGAGGTATGCTGTGATCCCTCCCAGGTAAGACACAAAAAGTGGTCTACCCCAAACACTGTAACCACTTGGAAAGACAATGTTCCTCCAAGCCCCAAAGCAAGTACAGGAAGCTTCTAAGAGGCATACAGGAGCCCAGTCCCTGTGAGCATGTATGATCCAGTGTCCAGGGCCATGCACCTTCAGTGAAGGAGAAGAAAGCCTCAGTGATTCCTAAGGAAGTGGCATTCCAGAAACACAGGCATTGAGACAGGAGGGCTTTGCAGTCTAGGAAGGGGACCCACGGATCTTGGAAGCCTGAACTATTATAATACTCCCTAAGGCCCAGAGTTAACCTCTTAGTCAGTGAGTCTGACTCATTCAACAGCAATGACAGACTTCTCAGCACTTCTCAGAGATGAGCTCCCTGCATCTCTCCCTGCCTTTTGCACAACAAGCAGGCTTAGGGTCAGAGCCAAATATTACAAGTGGAGGGGCCTTAGTGATTATGATTCTATTCTACAAGTGAAGAAACCAGGTTAGAGGGGAAAGGGACACACTTAAAAGGTCACACCAAGAACTTCTTTGGAAGAGGTCTCCTGACTCCCAGTTTGGCTTGTGACATTGTCCCATTCTTCAAGGTGTGGGCAGTCAAGTTGGAAAACCAAACAAGGATAAATATGGAAGCAGGATCTCAAAGAAACACAAAGCGTTACAACATTATAGCTGATAAATGGCATTCCTGAGGATTCAGGGGCTTTGTGAGGGGTGTGCTCAGAATGGCAAGCTGTTTTTTGAGGGTTTACCAGGCAGAAGCCTTCTCAGGGCTTTCAAGGGTCTCCCTTCCCTTCTGTGGAGCTGCAGTGCCTCTTCTGTCAAGACAGAGCAGCCCTCCTTGACTTGGCCGGTGGGAGCCATGTCTCCGCAGGTGGTTTGGTTTGCTAGGGCTGCCACCAGTGGAGTGACTCCCACAACAGAAATGTATTGTCTCACAGTTCTGGAGGCCAGAAGACAGATCAAGGTGTCCACGTTTGCTTCCTTCTGAGGGCTGTGGGGAAGAATCCTATTCCTGTCTTCTCCCCTAGTTTCTGGCGGCTTGCTCGCAATCCTTCGCTTGTAGAAGCATCACCTTGATATCTGTCTGCATCTTCACACGGCGTTTTCCCTGTGTGTCCAAACTTCCCCCTTCCATATGGATCCCAATCAAATTGGAGTAGAGCCTGCCCTGATGACCTCATCTTCACCGATGACACCTGCAACCACCCTATTTCCAAATCAGGTCATAGTCTCAGGTATGAAGGTTAGGACTTTAGCATACGAATTTCGGAGGATGTACAATTTAACCTACGACAGAAATTGTTTGAGGGAGGGGGGCTGGTGACATACTCTCAGAAAGTGGCACCATCCTCACCTCTTCTTTATACCTTGTCCCTGCTGCCACTATTTCTACCTGGTGTTCCCAACATGAAGTCACATGGAGAAATGCATCCTTTCCCAAATATACCAGTGTCTTCGTACACACCACACCCACCACCTCATCATGTCCTTTTTCCCCGACTCTGCCCCACCACCCCTAGCCAGGAAGTCCTTCAATATCAACCGTCCATGAATTTCCTCATCCTGGAAACCATCTGTACAGGTTTGTTGAAAGAAGGAGTGAGAGAGTGAGTGTGTGCTTTAGGGTTCCACTTGGTGTTTATTGCTCCTCTGGCACCTAGGTTTTAGGAGGCAGTTCTCCCAGTGCAGTCTAGAATACAGCCACAAGGTGGCAGGGTAGGCCAAGCAGTGATGGCCAAGGCGCCGCTTTATCTGGTTCCAGGGAAGCAAGGTGGTGTAAATGGGGTCAGTGCTATTTTTTCTAGTTGGCCTTCTAT